CAGCAGGACAATCATTTCAACAGCAGTGACTGACAGGTCAAAACAATACTGACCTGCTCTGGAAGGCCAGGATGAGGCTGTCTTCTAAAAAGCCAGCAACTGCAGGGATGAGCCAGGCCAGGCTGTCTCTGAGACCGCCATACCAATCATGACATTAAACGCTGGATACGGCAATTCTCAGTGAACACTCCAGCGTGGCAGAGCTATTTAATGGCATTACAGCACCGCAACTAGGATGCGAGCAATTTCACAATGGTTGAACTAGAAGGAAGAGTGGAAGTTGAGAAGGGTGGAAGAGCAGCAAGACCAACACAGTGAGGATACAAGATGGTTTAGTTTTGTACCTGTGTTTCTAACCTAAGTTTTTATGTGGGAGCTGCAGGACCACACACCCAAGAAGTGTACTTGAGCCCCAAGACTGCTTGGAAGCTGCAAGTGAAGGAGCCACTGAGGACTCAACACCAACTCAGATCTGCACAGCAGCAGGACAATTAGAGAGCTGGTGGCATTTTGGACAATACAGGAAAAAGCGTTAGGGAACAATCAGTGTCTCTCTTTTTCACACCCACACACACTTTCAGTACTTTCAGTAGTTATACAGTAAAGCCCACACAACGGAAAAATCACATATATCACCCTTAGCAGCTTTTAGCTGGCTATCCAATTAGTAACTGCAGCAGATCTGTCAGAAAAATTAAAAGCAGAAACACTATTTTGCAAATGACACCACGAACCACCTGAAGGGACCAGCTGGTTGTCTGACATGTTCTGAATACGAGGCTGCAAGTTGGGCATCTGTAACTTTGTTCACACACACATATGAAATTCTTGGTTCAACTCTGGTTTTAAACTTAAGCAGGCTAGTCCTACTTGAGGCTGTTTTGAAGGCAAGCATCTAAGTGCTGACGGTCTTCTAGGGTTTTCCCTGGTAGAAAAATTCAAACACAAATCACCATGAGATTTTCCCAAAGTCCTGGCACAGCACCATCAGGAACCCCAATATTCAACTGTGCTGAAGCTAAGTATTGGAATGCAAACATCAGAGAACAAAGCACTGCTCATAAGTCTTACCATGGCTTTATTTTCTTTAATATTCATGGCTCTCTTAAGCAGAGCACTAGAACTTTCCTCCTGTGTTTCTTTTATGTCTTCTTCAGACTCTGAAGCTGAGCCCTCTTGTTTGTCCCACTGCTTGCAGCTTATTTCTTTTGAAAGAGGTGTGAGGGAGTCCTTTACAGGCAAGTTAGAAAAAGCCTGTTCAGGTATTTTTTTCTCAGAGGACTTTCTGGTGGGAAACTGCAAGGCAACACGAAGGCCAAAGCTTCTTCTCTTGGGAGAAGCTTTCTTCTTTGCCTCTTCCTCCTCTTCTTCGCTCACGTGCAAATTATCACGTTCTTCATCGCTCAGGTCTGACTCCGCTCTCTAGAGGCAGGAAGAATCCCATGTTACGTTACTAGCTGTGACACAAGAAAGGCAATTTTTAAATCACTAATTCTAGGCAGCAGTCTCACCACCTGAAGGCACTCTCATAAATTCAACTAAATCAACAAATTTTGAAAAGTTCACAATGCATGACTTCTCCTTCTGCAGAAACCAATATGAAGTCTACATATCAATATTGTTTGGGATACAGACACGGCTGTCTTCAGAGGAACAATCTTGCCCAACACAGTTTACAAGCAGGGGAAGAAGTTCTCATTTTCAGTAGGTGATGTTGGAGTGAATAAATCACAGAATGACAGAATGGTAGGGATTGGAATGGACCTCTGGAGATCATCTAGTCCAACCCCTCTGCCAAAGCAGGGTCACCTACAGCAGGCTGCAGAGGAACATGCCCACGTGGGTTTTTAAAGTCTACAGAAAAGGAGACTCCACAGCCTCTCCAGTCAGCCTGTTTCAGTGCTCCAACAACCTTGTTTTATATAGATATCAATAAAGCTTTGTTTTTATATTTTTTTAAAATATAAAATAAAGATTTTTTTTCTCATTCAAGACAACACATCTTTTCTCCAGGTTGAAGAAAGAACATCATGGTGTATCAGAAACACTCCTACTAGAACATGACTTTTACACAGAAGAGACAGAAAAAAAAAAAAAGAAACCAACATATACATTCATGTGCAGATGACCACCTTTACTGGAGCTCCTTCCTCGTTCCCATCCACCTCACTCGAAGAGAAGCCTTCAAACACTTCTGCTTCCGAGTCAGTGTCTTCAGTGAAAATCCTCCGCAGTTCTTCTGTGAGGTATCTGGACTGGAATCGAACCCCCTGTAAAAACACCAGCCAGCAGCTGTGAGACAGTCAGACACAGAGTGGTCACACAGGTACAATAAACAGGTTCTGAGGTTCAGGCAGGTACCAACTAGATGGCTTACACTGGGAAAGCACTTTGCAGGCAAAGCTTGTCAAAAAAAAAGAAGACATTCAGTGTTTCAGCACTGAATTATTTTAACTTAGCAGGCGTTTTTTTCATCATTTTGAGCACGGGGCTTTAACTGAGGGGTTTCTCGTGGGGGAAACATTCATCTTTGCCTCTTTCTCCTCTTCTTCACTACTACATGATAAAGATAAACTTATCAGTTTTCTTACATATAAATTATCATGTTGTTTTGTACGTTTTCTTCTGGATGTGAAAAAATAAGCCCTGAATGGAAGAAAATGCAAACCACAACCTCAGTAAGAAAGAGCTCTCCTTTTTCCACTTTGCAGTAGGAACAGCACTTGCGTCTGGGCTTCCTACAGCAGTAAGCAAGGCTCCTAGACGTGGAGTCTGATCCTGCTTACGCTGTTACACCACCACTGAAGTGACAGACACCAACACAAAATCACAGAGCTTTGAACAGCCTGACTAACATTCCTCCACCTTCCAACTGGTCAGCTCTCTAGTTTAACGGTGCAGTTTATCATCCCAACATGTTCCATGGTTAGCTCCTAATTTTCTGCCTACACAGTAGGAAGTAAAAAGTCAGGCCATGAAAAGATATCATTGAAACACTCTTCACAATATGTACATTATAAACCAATAAAACACAATGCATTTACTAAATCAGAAATATATTTCCATACTTCAAATCAGAATTAGCAGAAGACCATCTGTCAACTTGTCTGTGTTAATCTCCTGAAGACCTGTTCATGGTAGGAACATAACCCATGTTCCCACCACACCTGCCTCTTGAAAGTCAACAACACTCACTTTAGTTTGTTTCCTCAGTTCTCCTCTGCCATTTCTTCTGCCTACATGAGATACCAAAATGACCTCTCATACGATGCACTTGCTAAATATCTTTATTCTTCCTCTTAATTCCCTCCCTTCCCTGACTTTAGTTACACACTACATTAATGTCTAGTGAAAACTAGATACAATAGATGAGTGCAAAAACTTAGAGGGAAATGGGAGCGAGGAGCTACTGCATATTCTGTTTCTTTACGCTTAAATGTCTCCTAAAAATTGTTATGGGTAAATGGAATGAGTTTTCTCCAAGCAAAATTACTGTATTCTTCTGTTGATAGCTGCAGTGCAGCTGCTTGAAAAAGAAACTAACACAATAGGGAATTTCCTTTAAAGTTAAATTGCATTTCTTAGAGGGAAACTAAAGGTTTTATGCATTCTGTGTTGTCAAGAAATTCCACAGTGAAGGGGAAGGGAGGAAAAATAAGCTGTTTGTTAGCGAAAGTGATTAAAAGTAATGCCTGTAGAGCTATGCTGTTACACCTACAAAGAATGGTCTGCACAAGGTAAAATACAGGTCAGGGATGCCTACATGAGAAATGGCTGAAACTCAGCAGAATTGCAGAGATTATGGGAGTAGGACAGCAGAAAGCCCTGAGGAAAACCAGACAGGCAGAAGTCACTACTCGGATGCTGACACACAAATGCATTAAAAAGGGAACAGCTGATGCACTAACATCTCATTCACCATCCCAACAGTGCAGCTGCACTGCCTCCTCCCCCAGAAACTGCAAAATTTTTCTGAGTTTCACGTAGTTTTGCTCTTCACACCAAAACATTTTTGTTTCCTGCACAAGAAGTGCCTATGGTCATTCTCAGCAACAGTGGTGTTTGGCATCATAAATGGATGGAACTCAGGATTAAAAAAATTGTGGTTTAGTTGTACCATTTAGTGGTAGTGGAGTTAAACTCAACACTGACAGAGATTTAAAATAATTCTCAGACCAAGGGAAACAGAGGAATGGTGAGGAAAGCTACAGTACCAGCTGCAAATTTGGAACAAGTCTCACTGGGATTCCCAGTAATGCATGTTAAAGTAATAGAACCTAGCTCTTCCACAGCACTTTTCATCAGAGGATTTTAAAATGCTTTGCAGGGAAGATTATGATAATTATCTCCATCTTACAAGTTTGGAAACCAAGGCAGAGACAAGTAAAGTAAGGTGCCTACAGTCCCCAAGCAGGCAGCAGAAGCAGCAGGCTCCCACACAAGGCTCCACCTCAAGCACCAACACCACTCCTCTTCGATGCTCCTTCACGCCCCACATGAAGCCACAAACACAAGAACAAGCTACCTCCTGGTTTTCTGAAGTTTCCCGTACCACCATGAAGCAATTTAGAGCCCAATATATTTTGCTACGTTTTAGCCACTGTCTTTCTCCACAGCACAGACTGTGGCTATACCCGCAAGGCTCATTCAGTCTGTTCCCTTTGCTAACTCTAATCATCTTTCTCACCTTGAGCACCTCTTAACCAGGTACTGACCTGACAAACTAGTAAAAGGAGGGAAAACAAAAAAAAAAAAAGCATTTTCAATTTTGTTATTAAGGGACCAGAGGTACCTTGAGAGCACAGCTGACAAAGGTATCTTTTAGTACATTAGCCCATATATATAAAGTATATAATTATAAGCTTCTAAAAGACTAAAAACCATGTTTTATAGCAGCCAAGACAGCACACCAGTTCTCTTCCTTTCTTCTAAATTCAGGTGGTACCTCCAGCTACCAAATCAGAGAACGAAAAACACCAAATCCTTATGCTGATCCAAGCTACTTCACCACGAAGACAGCAGAGAACCACCAAATTCCACAGCTACAGCAGCAGCTAATAGTTTCTTTGGGTGTTCGGTGCTAAAACACAATTTTACTGCAAAAACAGCACTGAGATGATTTCTGGAAGAAATACCTTCAAGTCTGCATACTCATAAACGCCCACCTATTATCATGCATTTCCACTGTCTCGTGTATCCAGAGCACACCAGCCTAGGATGGGCTCTCTCTTTCCTGTTTGCTACATTTATCTACTTCACTTAAACTCACCTTCTAATGAAATCCATTTTCCTTTTTTGCATTAAGAAAGAGGTTTTCAAAGCAATCATTGAACCTTAAAAAGGACAGTAAATTTCTTTACATTTATTCTTAATATGAGGACTGCAGATTATGGTTTTGTTGTGAATTATGGCTCATGCAGCCCTGACATAAGCTCAGAGTACTGCTGCACCCAAAGAACATAACTTGGCCATGGTAATCCATTCCTACCTTTTTTTCTGACTCCAAGGAATCAGAATTAGCATAGCTGTCCTCTGACAACAACTTCTGTCTGGAACCATCATCTTGGAACCCCAGAAAATCTTCATCGTCACTGAGGGCATTAAAAATGTCAGCCACATCCTTGGGTATCTGTTTCTGATTCAAAACAAGACAGAAGACACAAGTCAGACATGCCAATCTAACTAAAATTGGCAACAGTACAACTTATTTTTATACTCCTACACAAACATAAATCTGTATCACAAAATTTGCTCTGCATAAATTGTACCTCATTTAGCTAAACTCCGGGAAAACTCTGTACAGACTGTTTCAATAACTGAATACAGACTCCAGATTTGGGGCTAGGTTTAAAACAGATCCAGCTTTCAAAACTGAGGCAGAAAGCATTCGCAAAGTTTCAGAACATGGTTTTATGCATCCCAGTACACTTGCAAAATCTTTCTGCTATCCACAGAAATGCTGGGGGGAGAAAAGTGTCTGCATCACTCATCAGCACCCAGACATTCATCTTCTACATCCCCAGGACCAGATGTACACGTCACGCACTCCACTCTTTCTTGAAGCCTCTCTGCTGCCTGCTGTGTGCTATAGCTGCGTGTGGATTTCACCCAGGCTTGCTCCCAACAGCCTGACTACGAAGAATCCCATTCAGTCATTGAAAAATTCACATTTCACCAAGAGGGCTTAGGCTAGTAACAGACAACACCCCACACATACAGAGTTGGTGTACTCCGGGAATTTAAGAAGATGACCCTCATGACCAAGCTTGCTCACAGCCACTACTTATACACCTGAAGTCACAAGTCAAGTTTATTCCACAAGTCCACTACCATCTGCAGATGGAGATCAAAGGCAGGCTTGAACTAACCACCTCTGCCACGATGGGTTAGTTTGCTGTTATTTATTGTATAGTTCTGGCATTTCCAATTTTAGCTTTCCATGAAAATACACTCAGAAACTGATTATATAATCAGCATCAGAGCCTTGCATTTCAACTGTCAAAAATGCAGCGTATACCAATAAAATACATATCTGCCTAAACACAAAATGTAAAAACATTAATATTCTAAATGCTTGAAAGATGCAGGCACTCCAAGAGAGAATCATTTTGTCTCTAAACCTTTAAAAAAGGCAGGAAGGCAGAAAGGTGATGAACATTTCAACTTGCTCAGGGAAGTATTTCAACATGAAAGGACTACAGGTACAGACAACAGTCTGCTGAAATGCTGCAGGGATATGAGAAACAAACACTGTCTTTTAAAGATACCAGTTATCAAAAGTACCAAAAATCTAGTACAAGTTGGAAATAATTTTTCAGCAGCTGCTGAAAAAGTTTAAGGTCTTATTTCTAGTAAGAAATATTATACCTATGGAGCTCAGTTATTTTTGCACATAAAATACACTTACTTGTTTAAAACACCCACCAGGTACTTTCCGAAAGCAGCAGCAGATATTCCTTGCTACACAGTGCGCGCAACCCCCCAACAACTGCCAGAATAAACAACACTAACCTTTTTTTTCAACAAAAGATCAAAGTTCGAGACATCCCCAGCTCTCAGTTTCCCCATCTCTGAAGTTGACAAAACACCACCAGTGTGCCTGGACCTGCTGGGCTGCATGGAGGAGTCACTGCTCGGACATAACCAGGCACCTCGTGTCTGCCCTTGGAGGCTGGCAGGTCTGTCACCCAGGAAAAGGATGACAGAGAGGGAAAACGTGACCAGGAGGTACCTCAGACCTGTTTGGGCAACGCTCCCACACTCACCACACGAATGATGGGGAAGGTAAAGCACCTGAGGTCCCCACCAGCCAAAACATTTTTCCAAGAGCCAGCCCCACAAGTTCCACCTGCCATGTTAGGCAAGGAGAAAAAGAAAAGCCTGGAGTGAGATGTTTTACTTCTCGTGACAACAGGAAGAGTTCTCGTGTCTCAAGTGAAAAAGCAACTTTCCCAATAACAAAACAGATGCGACTCACCCTTCTGCAAGGCAGCACCCGGGCAGGCTGGAAGGAGGGAGCTGCCTGCACGCACCCCCACAGCTTCAGAGGGAAGCATCAGTCATTTCTATGTCACTGCCAACCATATGTAACTTTTTAAAGAGGGATTTGTACATATCACTTTCATTGCCAATTGTCACACTAACGCATTCTTCTCTGACAATGATGTATCAGGAGAACATGTGTGAGAAAGCAGGGCTAGATGTAATTCTCCATTTTTGCTCCTACCATAAAAACAGATCAGTTGGGCTGTGTTCCCCTCATTCAAGTTTGCACCATGTATGGACATTCCTATTTGAAGCAGAGGACAGATAATTTTGATAACGTTCAAACTTGCTACTTATTCATTTCAGTCAAACTGAAATAATCCCAGTTTAATCTCAAACACATACTCACAAAACTCAAACTTGTGCAAAGTTACACCTTCAACTCACATTGGAAAAGCTCTTGACCAGACCTACAGGCAAGCCCAAGTCACACCACCCAAGGGTTACAGGCACTGGAATTGGCTCATAACCCTGAAGAAAACCAACCACACAGGGAAGTCCTCCAAGGCTGACAACTGCAGGCAAGTGCTACAAGAATAGAGGGCCCCAGACAGAATGCTGATAGGTGCCAAACCAAAAACCCAAAACTATTTACGAGTTGAGATCCTGGGATCATGGCAAACAGCACTGTATAATTTTAAACACCATTCAAATGTGTGAAAGACACGGAAGGCAGAGAGAGGCAAAGTCGTGTATTACTGCACAGAATAAACACACAGCTGGACCCATGGTCAACAGGACTGTCAACACCATGCAACCAGTCTGAGACTCAATGCCAGCAATGAAATCCAGGAAGGCAAGAAATATCCCAGATGATCTCTGCAATTTCTCAACGGCATCAATGAACAAAAACCTGAAACCTTCTGGATGGTAAAGTAATATACTGGCACAAGTGGCAGTAGGGTGAAAGGCAAGTAAGTGTTCAGAGAAAAGAAGGAACAAGTGATGAAACAAGCTGTCATCGCACGGTTTTACAATCTTCACAGGGATACTTTGATTCTACCAAAGGTGAATACGGATTATGCCTGAGCCTGTAAATCTGTCACAGCAACAACCCCTGGGACTTTCAGGATGGTTCCTTCTGTCCTTGTGAAAAGCTATGTTAATTTTCACCCCAGTCAACCTACTGCTAAATCCAAGTACTCCATTAAGTTTTAGTACATTCAGCTATTTTCGGAACAGCAGAGTATAGTTTCTACATAGCTTTATTTAAACTGGCAATTAAACAAGCCAAAACCCTTCAAGCTACATTAATCCTAAAATAAAGAATACCCAACTATCGTAATCACATGGCGAGTCACTGAGAATGTTACCTTCCATAGGCAACACCTACCTGGAAACTATCCTCTACTTTTCAAAACCACTGACAACGATGAGAATACAGCACGTCAGCATACGAACGCAGTTCCAAATGCTCCGTCAACTGCTACTGTCTCTTCTTTTATAAAATCTAATCTCTTGCTGATCCAAACACTACTAACAGCTATTTCTGAATTAATTCTGCATGATTCAAAAGCGTGCCTGTCATCTGCAGTGGCACCTCGTTACTTTCCAAGCATTCATGTTCCAAGCAAAACACTTCTGTACAACACTTCGGGCATGTGACGTGTCCCCTCTTCACATGTGGAGCGCCAGCATAAAGGCTTTTCGGGTGCTACAGCTTTGTTAGCCAGCACCCCTTTAACAAGCTCTGTGCTCTGAAACTGCTGTGCAAGGACCTGTCAAATTAGACCCTGGGATGGGAAACAGAGCCGCGGGTCTTGCAATTCAAAACAATTCTGTACTACTGACTTCCTTGGCAACTGCCTCCAGCGGGGGCATGTACTCACAAGCTGATTTACCACTCAGCAGGCGACCTGTGACTTCAGAAACAAGGAAACCTTCACCACCACATCCTTCTGGCTCAGCCTTGACTGAACTCACTACTCATCAGAGTCTCACAAAGAGGAGCAAGAGCCAGCAGAAGGCCTTGCTCAGCCAAAAACAAGCTCCCAGGAGAAACAGGAGAATGCCAAGAACAGACCGCATCCTTCTCTGCTTTGCTGAGCCTTAAAATAAGCATAGTGTGTATGCTTTTATCTGCACACCAGAAGGTGACATTAAGAGCCTCTTGTTATCATAGAATTATAGAATCATGAAATGCTCTGAGTTGAACGGGACCTCAAAAGGTCATCTAATCCAACCCCTCTGGAGCAAGCAGGGACATCCCCAACTAGATCAGGTTGCTCAGAGCCACATTAAGTCTGACCTTGAATGTCTCCAGCGATGGGACCTCCATCACCTCTCTGGGCAGCCCGCTTCAGTGTTTCACCACTCTCAGAGGAAAGAACTTCTTCCTAATGTCTAATCTAAATCTCCCCCGCCCTAGTTTAAAACCATTGCCCCTCATTGTAGCCCTCATTGGTTAGATCCTTGTAACCAGTCCTTCCCCAGATTGCCTGTAGTCCCTCTTCAGGTACTGCGAGGCCACCATAAGGTCTCCCCAGAGCCTTCTCTTCTCCAGGCTGAACAACCACAACTCAGTTATATGGCACCAGAAGTGAGAAATAAACACCATTCACTTCTGTTGTACCGTGCCAATCACGTTTCTCCTAAATGGTTTTACAATGCCCCTATCTCTCTCTCTGTATGGCCTGAGGCCATACAGAAGTGGAAGGCTTACAAAGTCCCCAGAGGACAGAGATCATAACAAACATTTCGGTGTTCCTACAGCCCTCCAGTCCCACAGAAACCCAAACTCTCACATCTTCCATCAGCAAGAGCTGACCGAGATGCGCTCTCTCTTCCCCCTCCCTCATACCAGCTGGGAGACTCACCATACCACCTCTCAAGGCTTGAGCCACACAACCAAATGTCGGGCTTGGATAGGGACCGGTCAAAACACGCCTACGTTTCTCCCTAAACCTCCAGCCTTATGAATATTCGCATACATTCAGCTATTCAAATACGTATTTGTGGCATCGCGGCATTTCAACAACAAAATAAACAAACCTAGATTAGCTATTTCAAAAGCGACACCCCCAAGCGTACCGAGGCTAATGAATTAACAACGCTCCTCCGCAAGAAGCTACGCGCATTAAAAGACACTGG